CAGCAGTTCATGTTGCCTTTCTGCAACATTATGGGAGAGATACTTCCTTTTTTCTTTTGAGTAGAAAGCATTGAGTAGAAGGCATTGCTGTGACTTCTGACATCAAACGCAACTGAATACTCACAGTGCTCCCTTATAGCTGTGAGCTACTGCTGGAAACCTGAATAGGAGCTTAGTGATGATAGTATAGTAAAATATCAGAACAAGTCCAAAATGAGAAGTTAGGGCTGTTCAGCCTGGAAAAGAGAAGGTTGTGTGGAGACTTCAGAGCACCTTCCAGGATCTGAAGAGGCTCCAGGGAAGCTGCAGAGGGACTCTGTGTTAGGAGCTGCATGGACAGGACAAGGGGCAATGGGTACAAATTGAAGGAGGGGAAATCTAGGCTGAATATTAGGAAAAAGCTTTTCCCTGTGAGGGTGGTGAGACACTGGCACAGGTTGCCCAGGGAGGCTGTGGTTGTCCCAGCTCTGGCAGTGTTCAAAGCCAGGTTGGATGAAGCCTTGAGCAACCTGGTGTGGTGGGAGGTGTCCCTGCCGAGGGCAGGAGCTTGGGCTGGATCACCTCTTTCTACGTGGTAGATACGGATTGTGAAGTTTATCTTCCGCTTTTTCAAGCTGCCATCAGAGCATTTGAGAAAGGCTGGGGGGGTCTGTACAGTCTATAGTGAATGGCATTATGTTAGCAGCATCATATTTGTATGACTTTTACACCACGACCACAACAAGTGCTTTACAGAATACCAACCAGTTATGTCATTCATTTTGATTCCTTGATTCATCTTAAAGTTGGGGTTTTTTTGTGGTTCTGCACTCTTTTGTACTCAAAATGTGAAGCTGAGCTATCAAAGTCATGCAAAATTTGGGTATAGTTTGCAGAAAACATCATTGAAATCACAACATTAAGGACAGAAATTCCAACTGATATGTATTTGGTAATTTTCCTTAAGTAATTTTTGACTTGCAGAGAAGTTGAATGGCTTAATCTTTCTGCTAAAAGCATAACCCAGGGGTGCTCTAGATCCCCAAAGCAGCAATGAGCTTGCCAGAAGATCAGCTGGCACGTCGGTCTGAGATGGGAAAACACAGTTCCCATGCAGGATGGAAAGAGCTGCAGACATCCCCACCCCCCAGGACCCTCCTCTCCTGTGAGGGAAGTCATGATGCATCGTGCGTGTGAGCGATACATCGCTCTCCTTCTGACAGCTGCGCACCGTAAAAGCAGTGATTTGAGGAGGGGAGATGGATGCTGCTGGATTGGCCTTCCCGGCACAGCACACGTCTCTTCGCAGCGCTCGTTACGGCTCTGTGCAGAGATTTCTCTGCATGGCCAGGTGATGTTTAAGGAGCCTAATGAGAGGAATGATACAGCCCAGAACACTGATGTCAGGAAATATATTGCAAGGTGTCTATCTTGGGGAGGCTGCAAGCAGGGCTTGTCTGATTATGTATTTCAAAGGGGATGTCTGTGTCACCACCAAGTTAGACATGCACCCTGTCCCATGCTGCATTCAAATTGCCTTTTCTTTTTCAAATCATAGCTTTCCAATCAGTTTTCATTGCCTTAATGGCAGGCTCTGTGTTGTGCAGGGGCAAGCCACGAGTCCGTTGAGTAAGCACACTGTTCCTTGTGGCAGGAACTTGTCTCTGAGGTCGTTGGAACACAACTGTGCAAGTGTCAGAGGACAAGACAGAGGCCCTTATGGGCTTCTCCTTTCTGTGAGGAAAGTGAAACATGTGTCCCTGATGGAAAAAGGGAGCCAACAGCTGGATGGGATGGCCAGAGCATGTACTTGTGCAGTGACACTGTCAGTTCATTTTTTCCCCTTCTGCTGTCAACTAAAGTGGAGAACCCCCTGAATTTTCATTAAGTACCTTTTCCTCATTTCCAGCATTCAACAATCCAATTAGATTTGGTTTCATGGTAATATTTGCTTCTATTTCCATTGTTAGGCTTTTGAGTCAGAGTGATTTTTCCATCCTGATGGTGCGGAAAAAAATATGTTTCATTATGACTTGTTATAGCCCTGGAAATCTTTTCTCTCGCTTGGGTTGATGACAATTTTTTATGTTGCTTTCTATCCTGATGCCTACAGTGAAGTAGAATGAAGCATAAGGAAGAGAAGCTTTGCTAAAATATCCCTCCTTGCACTATGTAGAATTATCTTGGAAAGAGCTTGTGTCTCCTGAATTTTATGCTTTTTTCCCCCCAGCCATTATTCAGTAATTTTTGCAAATGAATGCTGTTTTTGCAGGGATTGTTTCTGGAGCCATTGCTCTTAGCAACCTCAGCTCACCTGTGAGCAAATTGCATGGCACAGATAAGATTGCTTGATAGGGTGACCTTAAAAGCAGAGTCTGCAGCAAGACAAGCTTTTCAATTCCTAAGCAAATGTATTATGTGAGTAATAAAAAGAGCTCCTCAAAATGGCCACAGAGGCATTTCGGAGCACGTTCCCGGGAATATTCACTCGTGCTAGTATTCATTAAGTTTGCTTTCAGCAAAAATTCTCATGAATGAGATTTTATTTGCTAGTCATTGTGATTATTGCTTTACTGTCATAGCAATAACCAGATGCTTTGTACAAGGGCAGGACCGGATTTTGTCTAAGGCAGGAGAAACATCTCATAGGGTCTCTAGTGAGTGTGTTGTCTAAGTATGAGACCAGACTCAGCTCACAGCTAATTGAGCTGCAAACCCTCAGAGAGCAAGTGGCTTTAAACGAGGGAATTTGCAGCTAGAAAAGGATGGATGCAGAACCAAGCAAAACGTTAGGCCATTTGAGCTGTTGGATGTTACAGGGTTACATCATTACTGAATGTGGATGTAGTTATACATTTTCGTGTTATAAAGTAGCTTAGGTGTTAGAGACTCATAGGTTGAAGAGAATATCTCTACCAATGTGGTTCATTACGACATTCAACTGGTTCATCCACTGGAACTAGACTCTCTTGGGTTTGTTTGTTTGGTTGTTGTTTTGGTTTTGTTTTAATTTTAAAAACAGCCTAGCACAAGTCTGTGTGGAAGGAAAATCCCTGAACCACAGGCTATGCCAGGGAGTTGGACTCTGAGTTGTGCAATCCATGGACTCATGAGAAGGGAATAAAGCCCTTCCTGGAAAAGTTAAATGAGATTTTTAGCTATTCACAGCTGAAGTCTGCATGAAATCTTGTTTCCTCCAATCCAGAGGCACATCATAGAGCAGAGGTATCCTATCATGCTGCTGGAGGATGGCTGTGGCAGGGCAGCTGCAACTTTGGACTTGCTGTGCTATCAATGAGAGGCCGAGGTAGTATGGGCAGTTTGAATATGGAAATCGTCTAGGCTCGAGGAAGTCTTTTCAGAGCTGGAGCTCATGTCATGAGCACAGTGTGTGTAGCGCTGCTCTGTGTGCCTTCATGTACTGGCAGAAAAGCATGTGTCCTGTGCCTTGTGGTCTGACTGGCCCATGTCTAGGGTCCTTCAGCATCCAGGGACTGACACTGTCTGTGGCCTGGAGCATCAAGGTTTGGGAGCACCAGGGTGCAAGCTGCACTGTGGTCATGGGTACAAGATGCATAACATGTAAGATGTGAAATGAAAAGGTTCTGTGGGGCAGGGGAAGGAGCTGTTAAAGAGACAATGTGCCAATCCCTTGTGTTACTCAAACCCCAAAATAACCATTCCTCTCTGCCTGTAGATCGATCAGAACAGTCTGTTGGCAGCAGAGCTAAGCACAGGACACTGAGTAGTTCTGTTGTTTTGTTGTCTCACTGCTCTCGTTTTCCATGTCTTGTGAAAAATAAGTAATCTGATTAAGTCCTTTGACATTTATTATTAATTAGTTCTTCCTTACTCTTGTTTGCTTGTCCTTTTCTCTTTGTCTCTCAATCATCAGAGCCAAGAAATCACTCAAATTATTTGATTTTAACAGATAAATGCAGATTTGCAGCACTTTTTTTATTCCTTTGAAGTTAGACTTGTCCCGTCTTTTGTCCATCCCCCTGTAGAAGTTGTCGTGTCCTGGCACTGCAGTCACTTCTGAGTCCTTGAGCTATCATGTATTCTGTTGGCATTTGAGGAACTGAAAATCAATCACATAGCCTTATGGCTCAGGTTCAGCACAATTCTATTATGCCCACTCACAAAAGTCAGTTCAAACCTTTTGGGTTATATTTCAAAGCCTAATCAAGCTGGCTGTCCAGACAGGTTTGAAGTCAGCTCACTCCTCTCCATAGGTCTGTTTATTAGAGCTTTTGTGTCAGAAACTGGTGTGAAGAAAGCAGTTCTCATAACAGTAGAATCATTCAGTGGTCATTTTGCAAAGACAAACCACCAAAACAGGTGTTATGGTGGAGGAATTCTTACTGTTGTAATACAGTTCTGCAAATAGTTTTTAAAACATTAACAGCCAGAAACAAACCATGTTGGTACAAGTATTCCTAACTATCCATTCTCCTAAAAAGATGTCCCAGCTGACTGATACTAGTTTTCGGTCCTGTCCTGTTAATCTAGTGCAGACTGTAGGTGGAACCCTGAAGGTCGACGGGGGCTTTCATGCTTCAGACCACGTGAACGAATGAGGATGGTGCATCCAAACAGATGGATCAGCTCCTCCAAGGATGAGTTGTGGCACCTTCACTCAGCAGGTGCACGTGGGACCTGCGTGTGCAGTGTCTATGTCAATCCCCTGGTTTCCAGTAGGGGCCGAGACCTCACTCTGAGAATGAAAGAAGCTCTGCAGAGAACTGGCCATCAGCAGCCCTTTGTGAAAATATGTACCTGCTATGTTCTGGGGGCAAATCAGTCTCATCTTGCTGGGGAGAAAGCAGTGATAGGCTCTTGGTGATGGCATTTCCAGCTGTTTGATAGCAATCTCCTCATTTGGTGAAAGGCTGGTACCCATCCTGTGGGAGCCAAGTGTGCACTGTAAATAGGGAGCAGCTCTCTCCTTTCATCCCCCACGGGTAAAGGCATTGCTCTGTGACCCATTCTGCATGTTTCTCTCCCCCTGTGTTCTGCAGAGGCGCAGAGACTTCCTCCAGTGGATGCTTGACTGCTGTGACTTGACTGGCTCCCTGGCAGCCGGGTGTTCCAACGTGATCAATCCATCTGCCGCTCCCAGGCGGAACGAGATGCCTCTTGCTGGCAGGGCCCCACCTGAAGAGGTTCAGGAGCCATTAACAGAGGATGAGCTAGCAGGCCAGGCCTTCCTGTTCCTGATCGCTGGGTATGAGACCACCACGAGCACACTGTCCTTCGCCACGTACTTGCTGGCTACCAACCCAGAGTGCCAGGACAAGGTGCTTCAGGAAGTTGATGAGTTCTCTGCAAAACATGTGAGTATGATGTGCTGGTGTCCCTTCCTGCAGGGGGCAAGGCAGTCTGTATGCCATCATGCCACTGTGGCACCTGCATGACCCACATTTCTCTCAGTTATGTGTGCATTTATTAGCATCTTAGTAAAATTTTCAGTCAAAAATTCAAAATTAGTCTACAGAGTTTAATTTTTTTGGAAACTGCCAAATATTGTCCCTTTGCAGCAACACAAGAGATGGCCTAAAAACTTGGTGTCATAGTGAAAGCTTAAAGAAAATATTTCTTATTAAAGAAAATAAAGAATATTTTGCATTGTTGAAATGAACCAGGTGTCTCCAGGCTCTAAAACTTCACATTTCTGTTATTCTCCTCTTGTCCAAACAATTCTATTGGTTTTGTGGTCTAATTTTATTTGCTGATTTTAGTAGGGACATAAACAGTGTTCTTACAAACCCTAAACTGCAAAGTTTTGCTTTAAATGTTCATAATTTTGTTTTCCATTAACAGCAAAATTTATATGTAAGCTTAAAACCCGCCAACAACCATGATATCTAATTCTCTTATGGTCTGTTCAGATCACTTGTACTTCACCATCTGAATTTGCCGAGGGCATTTATGTTTCCTGGATAACTGCTGGCAGTGTTTGGTGTGACTGGGAGGCCATGAGCAGCTGTTCCTCCACCCTGCCCCTCTGCACAAGTAGTTAGTTATGAGAATTCAGGTTGAGGGTCTTTTTTTCATGAATGCTTTTATAATGGGCTAACAGGAGTCAAACTGAGGGCAATGCTGAGGAGAAAGGCTTGGGGGTGATGTTGGATGAGAAATTTCCCATGAGCTGCAGTGTGAGCTCAGCGCAGAGACCAACCCAGGCCTGGGCTGCATCCAAAGGAGTGTGGGCAGTAGGGCAATGCTGAGGAGAAAGGCTTGGGGGTGATGTTGGATGAGAAATTTCCCATGAGCTGCAGTGTGAGCTCAGCGCAGAGACCAACCCAGGCCTGGGCTGCATCCAAAGGAGTGTGGGCAGTAGGTCAAGGGAGGCGAGTCTCCCCCTCTGCTCTGCTCTGGTGAGACCCACCTGGAATACTGCACACAGTTCTGGTGTCCTCAACATAAGAAGGACATGGAACTGTTGGAGCAAGTCCAGAGGAGGCCATAAAGCTACTTAGAGGACTAGAGCATCTCCCCTATGAGTACAGGCTGAGGGAGTTGGGGCTGTTCAGCCTGGAGAAGAGAAGGTTGTGTGGAGACCTCAGAGCACCTTCCAGGAGCTGAAGGGGCTCCAGGGAAGCTGCAGAGGGACTCTGTGTTAGGAACTGCAGTGACAGGACAAGGGGCAAAGGGGACCTATTGAAGGGGGGGAAATTGAGGTTAGATATTAGGCAGAAGTTTTCCCTGTGAGGGTGGTGAGACACTGGCACAGGTTGCCCAGGGAGGCTGTGGCTGCCCCAACCCTGGCAGTGTTCACAGCCAGGTTGGATGAAACCTTGAGCAACCTGCTCTGGTGGGAGGTGTCCCTGCCCAGGGCAGGGGTTGGGGCTGGATGATCTCTAAGATCCATTCCAACCCCTAAAACTCTACTGGAAGTACCTTTCAAGATAACTTCCCTGTACTTACTGAGTTTTCAGGTTTAGTTGTAGGTGGTGCATGTATGGCTGTGTGGCCAAGGAGAAGAGGACAAGAAGGATAACTGTTCATCTGCAGTCCCTGACACCAGGAAATCATAGATCTATCCTTCAAAAGATTTCCTTTTATAAACAGTTCATGGCTTTGGGGTTGGAGTGGAGCAGGACAGTGCAGTGCTCAAGGAGCTCATCCCAGAATAAGGAAAAAATGTGCAGCAGTTCAGTCCCCTCAGTGACTGTAATTAACTACTTTTAGCCTAGAAATGAGATCTATGTGAACGGTTTGCAAGTTACGGGAGCAGAAGCTATTTTGGAGCTGGGTATATATAGATGCTATGTTCAGTTGTCATGCAAGAGAGAGGAAGGGAGGGGACATGGAAGCTAAAGGCTCACAGTGAGTTATCAAGTCAGTTGCTGAGAAATTTCATTAGGTTATTGCTTGTACTCAGCACATCAGCTTTGCTCCTATCAAGGCCCTTTCAGAAAGGAAGGGCTTCATAAGGCCAAACCATGGGGAATGGTCCAGTCAGGTTGGTTTGACAGGTGGTGGAAGTCTGGTTTGATTTGCTGATATGCAACTATTGAATACAGTATCCTCTTCAGCCAAATTTGCACTCAGGTAATTATAACTGCAAAATGCTTTCCACTGCATCCCCCTTCCTTTCTCCAGTCACTCCAGTTGCCTCATGCAGCATGTTTTATTGCTCTAATCTGTGGTGTGGAGCTGTGATCTGATTTTCCAGCAGCTGCTGTGTATCATCCCAGAGATGGCTGTGCTTTGGTGGTGGACAGAGTGATTTATATACTCATTTACCAAAGTTTATAAAGGCATCTGAGAGCCATCTGAGGAAAGGTGCTATAAATGACAGGCACAGTTCCAGCTTTTTGGCTCCCCAGTCAAGAACTCAAAGCACAGTGACCTTGTGATAGCCAGTGAGGAGAGCAAGGTCTGTCCACCTGGGCATGCAGCAATACTTTGACAGCTCTGGGTGTTGTACTTGAGGATACTCCTGAGTTTGCTGTGATCTTTGTCTGTTTGTCGTGCACAGTGGGTACCTTAGCAAGACAGGAGAGCATAAAGAGACTGGAGAAAGCTGAGACACTGCTGTGTTGCATATACCTGGGCTAGCACGGTGCCAGCTGGTGCAGTGTGATGCAGAAATGGGTGTTGGAGGTGGCTGATCCCCAGTACTGTGCTGGGAGTCAGGAGCCCAGAGGAGAGGCAGGTCTGACTGATCATGTTGTCCTGCTCCGTTGTGTCCAGCCAAGTGTGTTTCAGAGCTGTCTTTGGGAGATCTCCCTGCCTCCCTCCAACACACTGCCTGACCACACTGTGGAGGTGGCACTTCCACACAAGTGTCCTCAGAAAGCAGTGCCTGAAGTGAATCATGGGTTATCACCTCCTTTTTTACCTCCAGGACCATCCTTACCTGTTTGCTAAAGGTCTTTTCTTGGCTGATAGCTCAGTGTGGAGGCTTCATGGTGTCTCTTTTCCTCCAAGTGAGAAGATACACCTGGCCCATTTCAGTCTGGCCAGCAGGGAAAGCTCTAGCCTCAGATTTTGTAGAGAGCAGGACACACAGGTTCTTGCCCTCCTCACCTCTTGCTGGGTCCTTGGAGTGTGGAGAAAGGGGAAGCAGAGAGTCAAGGTACTGAGTGGTGCCAGCAGTCACCACATGCTACATCTTCCCATGCTACCTGTGAATCCCTGTGTCCTGCTCCAGCTGCTCTAGTAAAGACACATTTAAGCATAACTCCTCTAACACACAAATAAAAATTCAAACTGCAGAGATTTTGGCCCGACTCTCTTCACGAATGCCTTGGAATTCAGGAA